ACTGTCTGTAATTCTGTATGTTAAATGAAGATAAAAAGTTAATTAAGTTCAGACACACATTTACATAAACATTTCTGTTATTTGTATAACAACAAAGCAATATTTTCGCAAGACAAGACCATTTTCATTGATTCTCTACTTAACCCAAAGGTTGAGTGGGAGAAAGTGGGAGAAAGTCTACCTTATGCACCTTACTTTTGAGAGGTATAAATAAATAAAAAATAAAATATTAATATTGACTTTTATCCCCTAAAAGTTACAACTTTTAGAGATATAAGAAGTGTCTTGTGATTAGAGATATAAGAGTTGTCGATGTGTGAAACTTTTTACCACTTATTTTTCTTTCCTCAAGTTCATCAAAGTACCCTGTTTTTTAAATTTTTGTAATGCATTTTCAACCTTATCGTTTTGCAATAAGGTTGAAATTTACTTGAAAATAAAAAAATAGAATGCAGTATTATATCATGGTTGAAATATCTGAGACACTAACATTTTAAAACAAGATTTATTAACAAAATAAAAGTACCAATTTCATGACTAAAACATAAGAAAAATAACAGCAAGATTCTGAATACTGCACCCGATCAAAGAACAAACTAGTAATTGATAATAATAATTATGTATCACTAGCAAACCCGGCGAACTCCGTTTCGCCACCGGATGGCTTCGTTTTATGTAACATTTTGTTTAGTGAATTTTCTTTGCTATAAACCTCACGGATCCCGAGACCTTTCCAACGAATGCAAAACCGTGGAAATCGGTCCGTGCGTTCTGGAGTTATAGCGTCAGGAAAGAAAAACCCGACTTATTTTTATATAGTAGATTACTATTTCTTACACATTCACTAGACATCTGATTAAATCTATTTACATTAACTATGTAACCAAACATGCAACACATGCAGATACATAACTACTATCTCTGTTGGATCCAATGATACTTCAGTCTCGGTTTTACATGCAAACCTATACAGATAAATAAAATTGGAGTTTTTGTTTGTAATTTTAAAATAACCGCTTTTTACTACATGCATATGATAATATGATGATATAATACATATGATACACATACCAAAACAATTTTTTTTACTATTTTTATCTGTCTCTTTGTACTGACTAATCTCTGGAATAACTGGACCGATTCTGCAAGACTTTTATTGGCAGGTAGCTGATGTACTAAGGAGTAACAAGCTACTTTCATATCAGAAAATTTAAACAAAAGAAAGTTATGATCTAAAATTCATATTCAAAGCAGATGAAGTTCACTCAAAATTTTTCCATGTACTTACTCCAATACTATCATTCATGTATATTATGATGACAAGTGTTCAGCATAGATATGTTTATATATTATCTTAATCTTATCTTTCACAATATGAATGGTGCAGTGCTGACATATTGGCAATTTTAACTTCTTTATTGGCATGGTTACTCCATAAAGTTATCATTTGTGTGATTCAGATAACTAAAAAGTGTAAATGTAAAGTTGATTATGTATATTTTTAGTAAAATCCACCCTAGGTTATCGAAGATGGGCTAAAGTCTGTTTTACAAAGCCACCAAAAATAGTTAATATAATAGGTACCTACCTACATTAAAAGAAATAGGTACTAAACACTTATTCATAGACTTAAGGTTATCCCCAAAGGGGTAGCAAAGTTGCACATTGCGGCACTTAATACCACTATACAATGTAACAAGCACTTTCCACTATTTATATCACATCTCCCAAGTAATAGGAGGTGGGCCTATTGTTATATACCAGACTCATTACCAGACTCTGTGCTACTACTTAAGTACTGAGATTTTATTTAAAAACCCAGTTATACTTTGCTCGAAACCTCCAGCCTGGCAGTAGTACTTGCGACCACTCAGCTAACGAGGCAGTAAAGTATAAAAATTGACACATAACTAAAAAAATTATTACATTATCTAATTGGTTTTAGTATAACAAAGATAATAATAAAATACCTATTGCATTCCAATTATGCAACAGTAGTTTTATTACTGCATATTGCACCCACATAATTATTTGCAATATTGTTTACTATTACATAACAAACATGTCTATTTCACAATGTTTTACTTGTTCTTTCGATTATAGGTATAACTAGGCCTAAAAAAATATAACTAACTATGAGTAATCAATCCAAATGGACTTTATATGAGTGTTTACACAATGCCTTCCTAACAAACTAAATCAATTTTATTGTAACTTGGAAGTACTTATTTATGAATTTAGACTTGAAAGAATAATTAGAGTACCTAACGATTGAAAACAAACATTACACATTTGTTTCAAAACAAAAAGACAACAAGATTAAACTTCACTACATAGTATAAAACAAAGTCGCTTTCTCTGTTCCTATGTCCCTTTGTATGCTTAAATCTTTGAAACTACGCAACAGATTTTGATGCGGTTTTTTTTAATAGATAGAGTGATTTAAGATGAAGATTTATATGTATAATACATGCATATTGCACCCGTGCGAAGCAGGGGCGAGTCGCTAGTATTATATAAACAAAAAGATTAAAAAACACCAACAATTTAACATTAAAGTTATGAACAAAAACCCAAAACTTCACACTGGCATACTTTCCGCTACCTCAATCAATATTCAATTCTAAACAAACAAATGTCAAATTCACCAATTATAGTGTAGGAAGAACTAAAGTATGTGCTACTAAAGGAAAATGCAAATGTTATGCGAAAATATGCTTTATTTGCATTCAACAAATGTCTCAAGTTTCTGTCCTCTTGATGACTCATTAGAATAAATTAAGCATTTTAATGTTTCTTTGTTTTTGTGTTACGTTTAGATCATATCGGAAATGGCTAGATGTGTTTTGATGAAACTTTTCTCAAGCGTTAAGGTTACTGAACTTATAAAGATCAAGTGTCTGATTGTTGTTGACGGTTTGTTACTTCTTAATTTGTTTATAAATAATAATATTATGATAGATATAGAAGTTCATATATTGATTAGAAAAAATGAATTTATTTAAAAAAAAAATTCCATTACTTTAAATGCTTAGTAAAGATCAAGTTTTTAGTAATATCTTGACATAAAATGTAAATAAATATTAATTATCATCAATATGTGGCAAATGTATTAATTTACATATTTTATCAAATTAGTTAAACAATTAGGAATAAAATTAACAACAATCATAAAGAAAATATTGAAATTGGGATTGATTTAAGAAATATCTGAGATATCTCTATCAATAAACTGATATTAATTTAAACTTAAAATATAATAACCTTACTTAAATAGTTATTTTTAGTTTTCTTTTATTTATCTTTTTACATCTTAAGTTGTATATATTCAGTAATTAATTGAATGCATCATTGAATAAAAAAAATTAAATTAATGATAAAAATTAATAGTATCAAATTAATTCTTTATTATTCAAGAATTTCCTTATAACCTTTAGTATGTTATCAATATTGATTTATGTTTACATAAACAAAACATGTCGGCCATTTTGAGTAAGACTTTTTTTTTAAGTAGAATGGAAGTGTGAAGTCAACATGTGACTTGACTAACCTAAACTTAATAAATAAAGTTGTTATTATTATGTATGTTATAAATTAGAACAGTTTTTAACATAAATATGTCATTCCTGCAGCACTATAAAAAAGAGGTTGCATGCATGATGGCATTTTATTATCTGTTTTTATTTAAGATGTTACAAATAAACAAACAATTTTAAATAAAACCTATACATACCTACCTCAAACTTCACACTCATAAACATAATATTGTAGGAAATTCCATTGAATTTAGACCTTAAGGTCACATTTGACTATTTTAAACAACCATGTGACACTTCAATGTTATCTATTTTGAAACTAAAACATTTACCTTAAACTATGTCATACACTTATCACAAGGAACTTTACAAACAAATTTATGTTTACATGTCTCTTTTCTCGTGAAATAGAATGTTTTTCAGTCAATTATTATCAATTGTAATGTTATAACAGTTCAATAAGGTTTATCTTGGATCTTGACGCCGAAAACTAACCATCAGCCGTCATCGATAAGGACCAAAATAATCTCGGCTAACTGTCAAACCATGTGTGAAACCGACTTAATTTCACGTGACCGCATCAATTTCTGCTCCAAATGTAGCCAACATCTTCACTTACTTCCAATACCCGCAATAACACGCGCACATTGACCGGATAACGGTTAATCCATCGTATCGCTGTACTTGCAAAAAAACTGCACTAAATACAATCGAGTTTTTAGGTTAGGTTTACGGAACCAGATTTTTACATCCATACACACTTTTTAACTCATAAAACATCACAATTAAACGTTTTTATTGTTGTTCTAACGAAATGTACCATGTTTGCAATGATTTTGATAGAAACAAACAATGATTGTGCGAGATGAATCGCCCGCGCGAACCTAACCTTGCTCACGGCACTTTGATAGATTTCTAGTTCAAGGTCCTAAGAAAGAACTGAAAAGTCACATGAAGGCGTTACACAAACAAAACTGAAATATCATTGCGACCCGCACAGAAATCTATTTTAAGACAAACAACAGATGAAAAAAGCACTAACCTTTACAACCTCAGGTGACGGCTTTATCCATGTAATTTTTGTTGGGATATTCTAACACGTTTAGCACAACAAACACTACACACAAACCACAAATGTATCGTTTTAACACTTTTAAGATGCACCACGGATATTTAAAAAAGGTTTTTCGTAAAAAAATTAACACTTTTCACGAAACATCACATGTTACGAACTTCACGACAGCAGAACTATGTGTTGCCATAATTATTTCGTTTTACTTGTCAAGTTTTAGTAGTTCTGTGCCGTTCACCAGTAAATGATACTCGATCGTAGAAATATATAATATTCGATAGCTATACATCGAATTCATGCAAATATTTAGTAAGAAATTGGCAATGAGCCAAAATTTATAAAAAATATTTATAGTTTTTACAGATAACTAAATCTGTCTTTTTACGTTTCAGATGTCTCATACAAGTAATACTGTTAGTGAAGGAACGGAAGACAAGTTAGAAAGTATAAAAGAAGAACAGATTTCTCCAACAGGTTCTGCTATCTCTAAACCAGTTGGTTTAGAAGACTACAAAAGAGATATATCAAAATGTACATGCAAAAGATACAATGAGGTAAGTAAAAACCGTTTTAAAAAGAAGAAAAGGAAATGTTATTTTTCGTAGATTTACGTATTATGTAAACTAAGATACCTACTCCGTAGGGTAAAAAATTATTTACTTTGACATAGATGCTAAAAGACTCTGTAACTGCTGAAAGACTTGAAGAGCTTTTAAAGGAGAAAGAAGAAGAACTGCGGTCACATTATGATAAAATATTAGAACGGGAGAAGACAGCGATCAAAGAACGATTTGACTTCATTTTATTGTGAGTTGAAAGTACCATTTGATGGTATTGGAATTTCGTAACTAAAATAATTTATTTTAAAGTTGACAATCGAACCGAGTCAGAGCATCGATATTAGTAACGACAAAATTCGGATGCTTAGTCGTTTTGGATTATCCCTGTGCTACATCTGAGAATTTCGAAGTTAAAAGATTTAATAACATTTTACCCTTTTCAAATAATTTATTAACATAACAGAAATGAACAAACACGTGCATCTTATATGCTTCGTGAAGCACACAGAGAAAGACAAGAAAAAATCAGAGCCCTACAAACTCAGCTACAATGTAAAAACTTGGCAGCTTTGATGTATGTCATGTGTACGGAAAGGCGGAGAAGTAGACTAGAAAAGTTAAGGATTATGAGAGGTAACCATAATTCAAACGTTAACAACACTATAAATAGGTATTTTATATTAATACTAGCTTTTACCCGCAGCTTCGCTCGCGTCACAAAAGGATAAAAGTAGCCTATGTGACATATACTAATACACACAGCGCCATCTATACCAATTCTTTTGTTTTCCCTCGGGAATATCAAATTTTTGCGGGATAAAAAGTACCCTATTATTTAATCTGGACTTCTAACTTTGCGTCTGCAAAATTTCAAAGCAATCGGTTTAATAGTTACGGCGTGAAAGCGGAACAAACAAACAAACTCACTTTCCGATTTATAATATTAGTAAGGATTCGACAAGAACGAGGAACTAAATGAAAATAACATCAGATAGACAAACATAATTATAATCGATATTAATATCGATACTATATTCCCTGAAACTCGTCCGAAACATCTCTATTGAAAGATGCTTTGTCAAAATTATTTATATGGTAACCCTGACAGCGAAGCGTATTTGCACGCTGGTTTATTTTGTGCGTGAAACGAAACCAGAATCTCGCGCACTATTTTCATCACGCTACAACTTGTGGCAACGAAATTACAGTAAAATATTACACATTGGAATGACATACGAGAATAACTATACGAGACATACACCTTTTTTATTTTCTGAAGAGGCTTATTGTAGCAATTTCGTTGATATTTTATGCCAATGTAAATCGTCATAATTGAATAACCTTTTACCTACCGGGTGAATGTACTACTTGTGTACGTGTACCTACCTTTCTTAAACACATGTTAACACGTGTCATATAATTTAACAACGAAATCGATAGAGAAATGCTTATGCAAAATGTCTAGCAGTTTATCAGATAAAATTAAGTTTTATAGATATATCGGCATTTATTGGGTAATTTAGAATACCTACTTACGAGTACGTATTGAATAGGTAATTCATGTTTCTATCTCATATTTTTCAACCTTTCATTCATCATCATATCAAGACCACAGACAGATACTTAGCTGCTCTATAATCTATAAGCTGAACATAGGCCTCAATGAATTCCAGATCGGCCGGTTAGAACTTAGAAGCGACCTGTATACATTGGCACTCTGCGATCCTGTGACCTACCTATAGTAGGTACTTAGATAAAACCTAGCATATGACATATAGTACTTACATTACACTAAACTTTATATAAATAAAAGGTATTATACGGGTACTTTTCAATTCGTTCTAGGCACAGATATAATAAAGAATTTTTTCTTTTTTAATATTTCTGTGGTTCTAGGTCAAAATAGGTAGATACCTAAGTAGGTATTAGGTACCTAGGTAGTTATACACAGGAAGGTATGGTCGGTACCGAATACCGATCTACTTACTTACCTGTAATGTAAGATATATAAGTAGAACTAGATCTATGCTTTATATGCCACAGATTACAAAAATTATATTGAAGAACTACAAGAGATATTAACGGAGGGACAGGAATTGATTCTGCATTTATCCAAAGGATACAAAACTGCTGCAAGAGTAGACCACGAATGGCGGGAAAAGATGAAAAAAGTTGTTAAACAGGTGCGCTAGAATACATTCACACATATATAACTTCACGCCTGTCTCCTATGAGAGTAGAGAGTAGGCAGAGACATATGGAACGCCAATTGCTACGATTCTGAACTACCTCTTTCGCTTCATCAAAAGTCATCAGTCTTTTCATTGGCTTTACTTTTAATACTTAGCTAATATTAGAATAGAATAGAATAGAATGGAATAGAAAACTCTTTATTGTACGCCATAAAACACAAAGGATAGACATTCAGAGATTGATAGTACAATGGGTCTTATCCCTAAACAAAGCTATCTGTATCTCCTTTACTTAGAATATCGAGATAAAAAAGAAGTAAGTGTTTCCCCTCGCTAGGATTATCTTTTTTTACATAATTGATGGGCCGACGTTTGACCACTATGCGCCTGGTGGTAAGCGATGCGTCGTCCCTTAAGCAACTTATTCACTCGGACCTTGAAGACACCCAGGTCTTCCGTATCATGGGCGCTTTTATAAACATACAAATTCACATATATGTTACACCCAGACCGTTGTATCGCTGAATAGTTGTTCCGTGCGGCATTCAAACTCAATCTGTGACACGTTATGCAGTAGTCAGTTACCCAGCCACTGCGCTAAACATGCAGCCAAAACCTAGATTCCAACCAAAACTACTGAAAATGCTGTAACGAATATAGAATCAACTACAATCTTAATAAACATGAGATACCTACATTCCATAAATTACATCTTCCTAACATACCTAAGTAGAATCACAAGCAAAAACTAGTTGATTAGCATTTTTTTCGTGGTATAACCCGGGAAGCAAGCAGACGGATCACCTGATGGTGAGCAATCGGCGTCGCCCACATGGGTACCTGGAACACCAGAGGCGTTACAAGTGCGTTACCGGCCTTTTGGGATTAGGAATTTGAAGATTGTTGGGGAATCAGGGATTGGGGAAATCGAGGGGGCGGGGGTAATTGGGCCTCCGGTAACCTCACTCACGATGAAACACAACGCAAGCGTTGTTTAACGTTTTCAGTGAGGATTAAAATTACCTGTATCTAATTTTCCAGTCACTAATTAGGTATGAAAGTGTGACACTATTAAGTAACGGCTACAATCTCGGATCGAGATAACGCTAGGCTATGAGGCTATGGCACAGATGATAAGCGTCACTGCGTCAGTGCATACTTATCGGAGAGATTTATCATTGAAATTCGAGGTCGGTCAAATTGACAGACACCTTTTTATCAGGCGGTTAAAGATGAAGGTATTTAGGTATTATGTACCTACTTATTAGCGATATAATTTATCATTACTATGTTACGAGACTATCTGCTTCCTAGAGGCATTAAGGTCCAATTTGTTAAAACCGAAACTTTGGACTTTGTCAAATTTGTATCTTTAGATAGTCCGACCTCACTCACTCGAATACATAGGTAACGCAATCGTTGTTTCCAATCGGTGTTCTCTAAAGGCGTGGAACAACGATTGCGTTGCGTCTATCACTCCAAGTGGCGTATTATGACGGTGTAAAGCCAGAGTGGTTCTGCTGAGGGAACGAGATCTCGCTAGACGACTTGTATAGCTCTGTTTCTTTCCCTCAATGGAACCCTTCTGACTTTAGGACGTCATAACCCCGCAGTTAGGCTAATCTGTAAGATGGCAATTCAAACTTTCGAAGTAAACTCGACCGCATTCTCGCCTGTCATTGGTCGTGATTATTCCACATCCAATGTCATGGCGGATGGCGATCAAATTCATTTCGATCTGTCGAATTGAAAGTTACAGACTCGCCTCGCAGTTTGAACCGGCCCATTCGTATCGAAGCATGGCTCATCCCCTTGATTCTTTTCGTAACACATAATATCTTGTCAAAATTCAAAACAATTTACTTCTGTATAATGTCACACTCATTTTAATATATCTGTGGTCACAGTTTATGGCATTTATCTATAACTTCGCGGGAGGCAGCCCGGAGTCCAACCAGTATCTGATAGACCTGCCCAAACTGCTGAAGATCGAAGCTCCCATAAATGACGACCCTGAGGAGGATCCTTGTGAGGTTGAGGAGACACCAGAGCAGCCTGCTGATGAAATATGTACCTAAAACTTACTTTACTACAGTACATTATAAGTTGCAGAAATAGTCTTAAAAACGTATTTATCTTATTGTTAGTTAGGGAACGATTTGTAGAACAATTCTCTAAAGTCTGTCATAAACGGATGAGCTCTATGGACTAACTAAAAATGACGAGTTACTCACATAAATATACTGAGAAAAGCTCTAGTAGTGAAGGCTGCTCGACATCACCGCGCACACTGCTCATCAGCTCATGAGGAAAAGTCCCTGTTTGACTCGAAACAAGTAGAGCGTTCTTCAGTATATTTACGTGAGTAACCAGTCATTTTTATTTAATCCAGTATGTATCACGATAGTTATTATAAACACAGAGCTGCATGAACTACAATAAATCAATCCACCTCCTTTATTTTGTAAAGAGTTCCACATAACAGCAATGCACATTGCACATACTTGTTAACATCCCCGTCATCACCAAACTACCTGACGCTCCGAACACTCCGGACGAAAGTCCCTTAACTTGCACGTCTACTCTTGGGGATTAAAAAGCTTATCCTAAAATATATAATGTAAAACCCCCCCAGCTCGAGAACCGGAATGGTGGGAGACGTCGGAAAAGGATAGGAAAGATCGCCCGTTTGTGATGTTCGGTGATATGGAAGACTTCACTCCTAATCAGAGGCGACAGGTCCTCAAGAACACCAAGCCGCAGAAGACTGCACCCGGAAAGTGGAAGGAATATGGTAAGTTGGTATTATTTCTGTAGAGGTTATTTCAAGGAGGTTATTTCAAGGAGGTGGCGCAGTTAATAGAGTGACTGGTTACTGCGCACAATGTCGCCGGATTGGAAAATGACTTGATTTTTGAGGTGTGAAAATCGCCGAATAAGTCCTCCCACTTCGCGTGAGGCGAGAGAGAGTGTCAGACTCTTACTGTCTAAAAAATATTTCGTTCTTACGCCTGCTGTTACCTGGAGCCACGGGAATGCTTGGTGCCTTTTCACACGTTCCGATTGCCAGGCCACGGAATCGGTTCTAGTGGGCGCCATCTGTGACTTCAAAGTCCAGCTAGGTTATTCTATAACTGTCAATCGAATTGTCGCCCGTCGAGGTCGAGACTCGAGATTATTCTCACATCTAAGAATCTCTTGAATCTTTTGAATTGAAACTTACAGAATAGCTTAGTTGTCTTGTGTCCCCCAGTTAAGTCAGCGAGAGATAAATACCTCTTGCAATTAAATATTCTCCGATATTAACTTAAAAAATTTATGAATAAGTTAACTACTTAAAATAAAGTATCAAATCAGTTGGAATTACCAGTTTTTATTCAGCTCTTACCACTGTGTTCGAACAAAAGGACGTCGATTCTTTTGTTTCCAGGCATAGTATCTAAATACGAGAACTGTAAAATTCAATTGTTTATTTATTAGACAGCAAAAAATCTTTAGAAATGCCCATGTGGCATTTTATTATTACCCTTTATTTTTGAATAGGTTTAGGTGAGAGCAAAAATTTTACTGAGGTTTTAAGTAGTTTTATAAAGCTTTTTTTTTAAATCATCGAATGACTGCTCCCACCTGAGTGAGGTGGGAGGGAGTGTCAGACTCTTACTGACTAAAAACCACCCCGTTCCTTCTCCTGCACGTCGAGCCGGAGCCCCGGTTACCTGTTAGGTTCTCCGCGACAGTTTTATAAGGCTTAACGCTGCATGTTAAGTGCTATATTATTATCTAGTAAGACTGATGGCTACACTATAGAATCGAATTAAATCTGTAATGATAGTTATTAAAATAAATAAAAATATTAGACCTACATAACCTAACCTAACTTACGTATTATTTAGCTTTCAGAAGCATGTTCCTGAAATCAAGATGTTGCAATTTGGGACAAATAAAAGATCTGTACGCAAACAAACTGCCGCTTCCCACCAAATTCGAATGTATGAGCTCTTTGAATGGCAACGGGAATGATAAGGACATGATGAAGGGATCTAAATTGGTAAGCTGGGTACCTATATAAAAATGGCGATTTTCTTCCTGACTACCCTGGGCTGGTCTATGAGCCGCGTGTCATTTGTCCCACCTCTAATCTTCCCTTGGGTGTTGATAAAGCCGAATAACGGACAAAGGACTCCACATTTGACAGAGTCAGAGACAGGGCATAAGCACTCTGATCCTACCTTATTTTTGAGGAAGGAAAATGATACAATGACTTCTCCCGCTTGGGTGAGACGAGAGGGTGTCAGACTCTGACTAACTAAAAACCACCCCGTTCCTACTCCTGTACTTCGAGCAGGAACCCCGGCAACCTGTTAAGTTCTCCACGGCTCCGCATCGGCTTCAGCCCTATTGGGCCCCATCTGGATGATATCTATGTAGCTCTTAAACTGTCAAACACCGCGAGGACACCGGTGCCCGCAACCTATTGTTCTTTAATTGTGTCTATAATGACGGTACTTAAAGGGTAAAGCTGCGATCGCAAGCCCATATTCTGTTAAGCGACGATATTATGGTAAACCCACTGACCTGCTTCGGACTGTTGATGACTTGATTAATTAAGTGTTATATTTTTTCTGTTTAGTCAATCACAGCGGCTCGTGGAGGAAGTGTAGACATACGAGGAAATATGGGCTCTATTTTAAAAATAATGTAAGTAATTTAAACGATTTTTGTCTACACACATGTTCTGTTCATAAATGAGGAGTATGTGTTTCGTTTTTCCAGTACATCAGTGCCAAATGCTACGCCAGTGAACGCTAAGACAGAACTCCTTGGTGCTAGAGACTCCATGGAAATCACATCCACCACCAAACTGGTACACCAACTTTCAGATTTTCATTAGGGGCGTCCACATCTGTCGAATGTGCCACTTGCGAACAGTTTGCGGGTTGCACGCGACCGGCTTGGGAGCTGCACATTCGTAGAGCATTCACCTAATGTGGACGCACCCTATGATGATCATTTGTATAATACAAATGCTGTAAGGTGATGGTAACAGTCAGAGTAGAATATTTTAGTCAACATTCACCACACCTACTTGTCTAGCGCATATCGTAAGAGCGAACTAAATTAGGGAGGGACTACACATTTGACAGAGACCAGGGTGCTTACTCTTGAAAACCAATCTCAATGTCAATGCAATTTCAATCCAATATAATCTCAATACTTTTTCAATGTCAAAACTATACAACCCCAATCGTAGCTGTTAAAATAGCATTCAGAGAACGGAATAAAAAGCCAAATTCAATACCATTTAATTCATTAAATCTCCACGCAATGCGGATGCAATGGGCGCTAGTGTTGCAACTCAAGAGTAGATTATTGTATAATGTCAATGTCGAACGATCGGAATTGGTTTCAAGAGTAGGTACCCAGGTAACAGCGCTCTCTGATAAACTTGAATCTTTTAAACTGTGATCTCCTGTGCGTGGAAATTATGATAAATCCTTTTATTTAGAAGAAGGCCATTGTCTAAAAGTGTATTGTCACAGTCGTCGTTGTTGATATAGTTTTTAAATGTATTTTTTTATTATTATTTCATTATTTTGTAGCGCGAGCGCCTTTCAATAAAACCAACGGAGAACCAACAAAAAACCAAAATCCTTAACATTGGAAAAAAGCGAGTGAGTATTTAATGACTAGAAAGGCATATTTTTTTAATTGTTTTCACATAAATAAATAATAATAACATTATTGACGCTTGTCGTCCCTTGACTGTAGCTGGATTTGTTTTTGTGTCATTTTTTACGTGCTTTTTTATGCACGACCCTAACAGACGATAATAATAATCGACACAAAAACTGTACAGTTTTAACTGTACAGTCGGACTGTACACTGTAAGTACTAAAGGCCTTATTACACAACCCGATATGAAGGGCCCTGCATCCAGAGTGGGCGTATACCCTAGTTAGTACGGCGCTTATTACACTTCTCTGCAACTTAGACCCTAACTCAGTTTATATGCGAATGTCTAGAGAGATAAACGTAGTATCGCATTTTACATTATGCCGTCGTCAGTATTGAAACTTCAAAAGGTTGCTGTAGCAATGACAACCATGCTCGCAATAAGTAACTTTAAAAAGAGAAAGATCTGTGTGAAAGGGTATTTGCGGTTACTTGAAAAGGTTTCAAATGCAAATACTAAGCGTGCTTGAACCGGGAAATGTAATGAATTATCTCAGAGTAGGTGCAGAACAATTTGAACACTTATTGGGTTAGGTGTATTGAGGTAGCTCCATAACCGCCCTAAACGTTATTACATTACCCAATCTGCAGGGCGCTTAGGGAGCTAAGCAGATCGGGATGCCCCCTCCCTAAGTCTTATTACACCACTCTTAGTTAGGGTTAGGCTCCCTCGAAATTGGGTGGTCTAATAAGGCCTTAAGTACAGTTAAATCGTAAGGTGTGGAGGCTGTATAGACTTAAGATTTAACTGTACAGATGAATAGAAGCTGTGTAAAGCAAACAGTTTAACTGTAAAGTTTTATCTGAATCTAATCACGAGAAGAAATAAAAGTATACAGTTAAATCGTAGCTCCAACAACTACGTTTAGTCGTAAGGTTTTTAGGCCTTTATTAAACTTGCAACAGCTATGTATGAATGTATGTGTGAAGTGGACCCTTTCAACAAAATTTTGAAGCTGTTATTTTCAACCAATTAAAACATCGGAAATAAGGTCTATAATGTGGAGAGGAGAGCGGTCACCGGTGACAGCTTGAGGATAAATGGGTGGCAAAGTTTTGTATAGACTCGACCGGAGTGATACCACAGCCTCCCAGAAAACCGACGTGAAACAACGCTTGCGTTGTGTTTCGTCGTGTGAGTGAGGTTACTGGAGGCCCAATTACCCCTTCCCCAATCTCCCTAATTCCTGAATCTCCAACGATCCTCAAACTCCTAATCCCGAAAGGCCGGTAACGCACTTGTAACGCCTCTGGTGTTCCAGGTGTTCATGGGCGACGCCAATTGCTTACCATCAGGTGATTCGTCTGTACGTTTACCGGGTTATGCCATAAAAAAAGACGGACATGACATGACATGACATGACCTTGCATGATCATAAATGCTAAGTTGCATAATAAAAAAGGCTTCTTTTAATTATTATGTTTTCGGCTTACTCACGTTACTGTTTAACGAGGAACTCGACTATGTAGTAACATCAGCGCGACAGTCGCCACGGCGCGTGTCGCGGATTGCTGCTCATGAATATGAGCCTCTAGCATGGCTCGAAACTAGTCTAGTTCCTCGTCAAACAGTTACATGAATAAGCCGAAAACATAATAATTAATTTAGTATGTCTCATGAAAGTATAAGTAAGGTTCGTTTTAAAAAGATTTTAATTGCAATGTTTATTCATTTGTGTTGTCACTATATCGAAGTAAATATTATGTATGTCGTTTGTTTATATTTAATGTTGACCTATAATAATTAATAAATAGAAATTGTTTGCCCAGACTTCTGTCTTCGATCCGCCGGATGAAGAGGAATTGTTGGAGAAGCCTGTTGCATCATTGTAATTATTATATTTACTTACTTAACACTATTATTAGTATTTATAAGATGGTCTATTAGAAAGACCCCGCTCCTACTTTTCCGCATGTCGTAAGACTAGGCTGAAAGACTGCACAGGACTGTTCTATTCTACATCTGAACTCCTGAACCCAACTCGCCTACCAAGCGAAGAGGTTATAGTAAAATTATCTTATGTAGAGAAACCTTAAGATCAGCAGTGGACTTTTATAGGTTACTAGCTACTTCCGCGCAGTTTCACACGCTCTGTTCAACTCCTATTGGTCGTAGCGTGATGTTTATAGCCTATAGCCATCCTCGTTAAATGCGCTATCCAACACAAAAAGAAATATTCAAATCAGACTTGTAGTTGCGGAGATTAGCGCGTTCAAACAAACAAATAAAAAACAAACTCTTTCGCTTTATATCCTTACTAATATTATAAATCGGAAAGTAAGTTTGTTTGTTTGTTCCGCTTTCACGCCGTAACTACTAAACCGATTGCTTTGAATTTTTGCAGATGTATAGTTAGAAGTCCGAATGAAATAATAGGGTACTTTTTATCCCGGAAAAATGTGATATTCCCGAAGGAAAACAAAAGTATTGGTATAGATGGCGCTGTGTGTATTGGTATATGTCACATTGGCTTTTTATCCTTTTGTGACGCGAGCGAAGCCGCGGGTAAAAGCTAGTAATAGTATAAGATTACCAGCACAACAATACCAGAACCCTATACTATGCATCAAGTATGCACCATGCATACTTATATATATTATATATGTATATTATAAGTAACTAGTTGTAGTAAATTATGTTTTTGGCTTTACTCACGTAACTGCTTGACGAGGTAGTCGGCTAGTTCCAAGCCACGCTAGAGGCAGATATTCGTCATAATATAAACATACTTAGACGCCGTCCTTAAATTACGTCACACGTTAAGAGGGTAGGGAGGGGGTCGACGAAGTGTGACATTGTGTGACAAGGGGGAGGGATCCTAAATTTTGTGATGTCACATTTCAAAAACTATTATAAAACACTAAATATAATTGTATTAATGTTTTTATTTTGTTTGAAAAACTGTTTTCAAATAATAATGTTATACATGCGTAATTCTGCAACTTGTGACATCACACTAGGGGGTCTCACAAATGTGACTAGCTGTGATAAGGACGGGGGGAGGGGCAAAAAGTCATAAAACTCGTGTGACGTAATTTATGTATGACCCCTTAGTTGAAGTAAATTTGTGTTTGTGTGTATGTATGTTTACTCGATCATGTCAAAACAACTGAAAGAATCGGAATGAAATTCGGAACAGGGGTAGATTATAGTGTGGATTTTTTAACCGTCGGGAACGTGGGCGAAATCACTGGCAAAAGCTAGCAGAAATAAGAACGAAACAGGCAAGACTAATCTAAGGACTTTACTTGTCTGCCTACCCCTTCACATATAAGTTGTTTTCATCATGATTTTACCATTTCAGACATCAAACACACGATGTCACATATGAAAATATTGATCACTTTGAAACGGAATCGAACCTAGGGTATATGATTCTTCTATTATTTTTTTAAACATAGATTTATGTTATTCCTTTTGTGTATTTATTACTATTAATCGTTTATTAACCATTATTTCTGCTAGTTTACAAAAGTTAACTTATATTAGAAGGACTTTTAATTTTTCATAGCTTTTTTATATATTCTACAGAAGTATTCATAATGACAGCTTGCAAATGATAAATAGTCGAGTTCCTGATGTCGATCGCAAGATAAACTATGAAAGGGTAAGTTCCTCTAAAATATTATATCCATAAACCTGAATTAATAGGCATAGTTCTGCTAAATACAGTAGTTTTATTATAAGATTAGCGCCTGCTAATTTAAACAGAGCAATAGAATACGCAAATATCGTTTGAATTGCTATCAAATAAGTTGTAGGCGCATTAGATATGTTAATGTAGATACTTTAAAGGTAGTTTTCAGTCAATAGATCTCGGCAAAATTATGTCTAATAATTTATTTCCCAAGGTGTGCCCCATGGAGAAGTGTCAGCGGCTACAAGTGGATTCCTTTATGAGGTCGCTACCTCCATACATGAGGGCCAATCCCTTCACACACTTCGAACAGAACTTCGAGCAATATCAGACTTGTTCACCAGGTTTGTTTCAAATCTTTTTATGATATGTGACGTCAGCAGCGCATAATTTATTATTTTTATTTTAATCATATGGGGATTAACCAAATAGGTTGTGTTGTGTTGATGTTTTTTGCTGTGTGAGTGCGGTTGCTTGTGGTTCTCACCACCCCTTTCTACCTCCTATTGGCATTGCGAGTGTCCATTAACGGTGATGGCTTACCTTCAGGACTTCTTACAGTTGCTAAAGTAGTCCGGTTGAGCAACCAAGTCTTGTTTAATGTATCGACAATCGACATATTATAATTATATATGTTAGTAATAGTATGAGATATTGTTATGGGATACAGGAAAACACGTGATCATCAGGTGATCAGTCAGCTCGTTTGCCTCCTATTCCATAAAAAAACTAATTGTGGTCCACGATAAGAAAATGAGTCGCATGGTCACGGCTCAAGAAAACGAAATAATAATAATATTATTTCAGAACAACTGGCGATGTTACAAGAACGTATTGAACATAAGAAGACCATGGAGGTGGAAAATTCAATAGAGATGGAAAGTCCTTTGGATGAGTGGATCGGACGGGGCATTGCAGTGCAGACATCCGAAGGGTCCCTGGAACTGCCTCCCTGCACGTGTCATGTGCCCAGTCCTTCACCTGCCTCCACCGATGTTATTTTCAATGGTTGGTGCATTAAGCGATTATTATACCATAATATATTTTTTGTAATCTGGCGTGCGCCATCTTTGGTCGTACATATAATTTATGCGAATTAGCCAAACAGACCACGAAATCTATACATACATACATCTATTAAATAAAAAAAAAACTCTTTCTGAATTATCTGTGATCAAAATACAAACTGATTATAAGTCAAACCAATAATTTTAAGACTAGCTGGACCCGCTATTTATTATTTCTTTTAGCCAGACCCGATTTTTAACCTCCGGTGCCTATTAAATATATAACAGCAAAACAACATATCCTCCAAAAGAAATAATGTTGCTCAGATATTTTTGTCAGGTGTTAATACTGTACCTATTGTTTTCTGTAAAACCGTGAAATGATCAACTGTTTACTGTGCTTAAAGCACTTGCTCTTCATTAAACAATTTTCTTATTGTTTAGTTGAAGATTTGATCCCGGTAAAGCAAGCAATGGACGCCATTCATCGCGAATGTCTATACGACGAGAGAATCAACTTTGACAGGTTCAAGCTAATTGGACAGGAGAGCAGATCCCTTTTGTAAGTTTACTTTAAGGTTAAACTAGTCGCGGGCTCGAACTCAATCAAGGGCGTGGCCAAAAAGCGCGCTGTCTCATCTGACATCGTGTGCGACAGAAATAGTACCAGTGATGAGCAGTTAGACGCTATCTATTTGCACGACGTATTGTTCGCACGCACACAAACAGCAAAACGTCACTGAACGGTGCATATATCTGTGCTGTGTGTGTTTACTCGTAGTAAAGTCGTACGCGCTGCTACGATTTTATGATGCTCGCATGAATTTTAGTAATTATTGTCACAGGGCATTGTAATTACTGAATTTTTTTTATGATAAGTTGATAACACAATATCCGAAGAATCTACGAATAACGAAAGGCTAGGGATATAATTCTGTAGGTAAGCAGTTACTTTTTTTTCTAAGTACCAATAACTTTTATATGTACCTACTAAACCTAATAGGTACCTACAATATTTGTTGTATTTATTTAGTTTTCGTAAAAGTAGGTAATTACCTAAAAGTATGTTTACTTGCTAAAAATAAAGTAAGAAACGTAATAAAAAGTATAGTTGACAACCCCAATCGAGTTCTCACGGAGCGCGATAGCCACAAAATATAAAGGTACCTAGTTAGTTCTATGGTATAACTACATACAAAGCGCGCGCGGTACATACCTACATGAGATTGACTTCTGTACCTATTATTTTGCGCGAAAACATTCGGCTTGACGGTTGCCCGTTGATATTATCAATATTCCTACTTGCGGTTATCTACAATAATTTATTATAAAGAGCCTAAAGAGGTAAAGTTTGATTTATAATTAGGTAGCATGATCATTTCTTCTGTCTGGGTGTTTTTTATCTAATTATAATAATATGTAAATATTTAGAAATATACCTCTAAGTATGTATATCTGTTGTCTAGTAGGTAGGTACCTACACATAACACAAGCTCTGCTTAGTTTGGGACTGGACAGCGTTGTGTGATACCTAGTTGTGGAATATTATTATTATATTATTATAACTTAGGTATTATTTAGGAAGGATGGCTAAAAAGCATACCGTACGTAAACGTAGTGTTTTTTTTTTTTTTTTTTAAGGGGGGAAAATCATCGAATGACTGCCCCCGCCTGGGTGAGGCGGGAGGGAGTGTCAGACTCTTACTGACTAAAAACCACCCCGTTCCTTCTCCTGCACGTCGAGCCGGAGCCCCGGTTACCCGTTAGGTTCTCCGCGACTCCGAATCGGCATCGGCCCTATTGGACCCCATCTGTGGTGGTCTGATGGCTCTTTGAGGCGCGCGCGGAACGCGACGCGCCGTACGCTCGGGTCTGTTTCTGGTCGGACGGGGAGCCACCCATGCTCGCCGTCCGCAGGCCCGCGCTTACGGTGGCCGGAGATCGTCCCGCGATCCCCGACGCCCGGTGTGTCCTTCGCGATGGCTGGGTTGCGAGGAGGCAGCGCTTCGCTGCCTCACGCGTCCCGCCTCCTCCTTAGCTAGCATGACTGCTTCGCAAAAGGAGGAGACGGCATCCCAATCCCCCTCGCTCCGCATCATGGCCTGCACTAGGCCCGGACGCGAGAGGTCGCCATCGCCGATCACTTCCCTGAGGACACGGCGGTGCTCAGCCCACGAAGGGCATTCTCCCACCGTGTGTTCCACCGTGTCCTCAGGGCGGTCCTCGCAGTGATGACACCCGGGCGTTTCCTCCCGCCCCATCAGACACAGGTACCTCCCGAAACTGCCATGTCCGGTGAGGACCTGCGTCAGGCGGTAGGTGAGGACGCCGTAGCGTCTCTCAAGCCACTCCTCAAAGAGGGGACTTACCGCTGCGATGGCAGCGAGCCCAGTCCTCGGTTGCGACAGTCGTTGCTGCCATTCCGCCATGAGATCGCGCCGGAGCTCATCCCGCCACGCACTTATCTGGCGCGGCAGCGGAGTTTCGCCCCGGCGACGTGCCTCCGCGCGCATGCTGTGCACGCGCGCGAGCACCTTCGCCTCCAGATCCCACGGCGGTAATCCGGCAAGGAGGTTCGCCGACTCCCCAGAGATCGTGCGGTATCCGCGGATCATTCGGATCGCCATGACCCTCTGTGCCATGAGCAGCGTCCGAGCGGGACGCCGCAACAGGTTAGGCGCCCAAACAGGGGCGCCGTAGAGGGCCATGGACCGCACGACCCCGGCGTATAACCTCCGGACGTAAACGTAGTGTACCTGCTAGTAAAATATCAAATTCGGTCTAGCCGAATTGAACATTGACCTGAACAAATAGAAAGACAGACAGACGGAAAAATAAATAGGAAAAATACAAAATAAATAAATAAAAAAATGGGTTTAAAAACTATTTATTTGTTTTTTCTGTCTATCTGTCTTTCTGTTTGTTATACGTAGGTACCTATGTCCAAAGGAATAAGTAGTTTTTTTTACCTACTTATCGTGCAAATAGTCGTGTGAGCATGAAAAATTGTATGTAGGTAAGGTATTTTAATATTTGGTACAAACTGACACTGCAATTTATTTACATTGTTTAGTATAGGTATATCGATTTTACGATTTATAAATAATATAAGTATCGTACACCTCGCACTATAATACCTACGGACAGTTTACTGACAAGCTTTTATATAGGTAGGCAGGTACTTACTCGTGGCTTCGTTGATAACTAACAATTATATTTTTGTTCAAATTACGTACCGCGAATAATACCTTAGTACCTACCTACCTAATAAATAGGGTACGATCGTGTCATCGTATAAAGGGAATTTTGTGTAGGTATAGACCTACTCCTATCCTACCTATCGACACCACACCACCGCACCGGTCGCAAAGCTCCAGTCGTAAGATAAGCGTAAGGAGAATAGTCTACACATACGATACAAACGACGTAGGCCACAGCAGCAGACTAACAGCCAGTTTCAATAACCTATCTATCTGTAGATTTGCTTACTAGAGATAGGATTTTGACATAAGCTCCATACAAAAAGTGTCAACATTCTATCACTAGTAAGCAAATCTGAAGATAGATAGGTTATTGAAATTGGACGTAAGACGACCGAGTCCAAAACAATAGAAAATAAATAGTCTAATGATTGCACGACAGCGCGTGTCGTGCAATAATTTGTGCAAAAACGCGTGAGCGTCTTCCCTCCGCCCCGCGCCGCTGCCGGGGGAATTTTATCTAATGAAATGCACGATAATTCATCGTAAAACGAGTGCGTATAAAAGTACGATTTAGTGCTTTAGGAAATAGCGATTTTTGAAAAAACCACTGCTTAGATCAAATTCAAATAAATTTTATAGAACTCTCTGGTAATTGTGCTGTGTCGGTACGGTCTACGGTTTGGAGATTTTACACGATTAGTGGTACTTTTTAACACCCAAAGTTGCGGTAAAATTGTCATGAAAAACAAAACTTTGGTGGCTCATAACTTTTTAATCGTTTTTTTTTATTTATTTTTGTTTCCGTACCGACAAATGTAATTACAAGATAAAACGTTGTCGTGTTTAATTTTGGAGGTACAAATTCACACTGTGGAGTAATACCACCCCGAACTTTCTATGGAAAAAATATCGACTAGTGTAACCTTAAAAGTAGAATATGGACTCAACATGAAATATATTTTTGACAGATTTTGAACTATATTGCAAAATTATGAGGGTTGACAATCTAAAAGAAAAAATCTTACAATTTGTGATAACTTTGTGCCCAAACCTTGCAGTTTATTATGTTCCTATAAATTAAAATGATGATTCAAATTCTTATTACAGGCAAGAAGAAATAGAAAAGGACGCAAAAGAATTCAAACAAGCAAGATATGACGAAATAAAGAAAATATTGAACCAACACCCTAGTCTTTTGGACATATTCCAGGCCAACGCAAAATAGTTCATAATTTATAACAATTAAAATAACGTCTCATGTAAACAATTTATTTCTAAATCTGTAGTAACAAACAGACTAAAACCTAATAAAAACATTGAAATATAATTGACGTATTTTATTTAAACCTACTGTTAATAATGACTAGTATAATTTGGTGTAACCAAAAACAATTTTTTGCTATCGTAGACAAAAAATGGACAGATAAAGTGTAGCTGAAAATATGACTGTGGAAAGACATAAAGCGATAGTGCTGCCAGTATAAATTCGTCTCTTTCCATCGAATTCTTTGCCAACTAAGTCCTTACATAATACTTCAGCCACAACTACAAAAATAATGCAAAATCCATTATTTGTTTATGACTTTCAAAAAGACAAACACGATCACTTCATAATCACAAAATTTTTAACAAACTTTATACAATACTATTTTCCTTCGCATTTAATTTCAAGATCATTTATCTTCTGATATTTTTTACATTATTCTTCCGAGCGAAAACACGTCCTAACAATAAGCACCAAAGTTCAATTCTTATTAAAAATCATGTTCAAATCTTGTCCAAATTCCTTTGGTTTATCTGTAATATCTTTTAGCTCCTTCTGTATCGTATCTTCGATTGTCATTACGAGGTTTTCTTGTTCACTGTCCTTGAATTCTTCAAAGACTTCAGCATCAGGATAATCTTCGACTCTTTCTTCCATTTCAATGAAGACATCGGATTTTATTCTGTCTGCCGTACATTTCTCACTCTCTGTGACACTGACTTCAGTGAGGCTTGATTTAGGAATACTTTTCAAAGATTCTTTAGCGACTGGTATTTTGGAATCATCTATCTTACTTTTAGAGTCTATACTTTTAAGGGAATTCGTTTTGTTTGGCTGTATGATTGGATCATTAATTTTTGGCGTCGGAGGGGCGTTTTCGAATGGTACAGATATAGTGTTTGTGAGGGCTTCCACCTCCTTTCGCCGAGCTTGTTTCCTCTCCAACTGGTTTTGCAATTCATCGATCCTTTCTTCTTTCAATTTCAATAGATTGTCTAGGTGTTCAACCTGTATAAATTAAGAATGTTACACTTAATTGACATGCAAATTAATCAACTGACCGATTAACCTAAATTCGGTCGTGTTGATTAAGTAATTGTAAACGATATAGCTTAACGAGTTCAGATTCTAAATGAATAAATTTATAAGTAAAGAAATAAACAAATAGCATCACGATATTATATTTCCGGTAAAATTGCTTGCTCGTTCTTCTTCATTAATGTGGTTCACTGTTGGATTTGAAATACATATTATGAATGGCTTATGCATTTTCAGCCTTTTGCCAATATAGCGAGCATGCACATCATCATCATCATCAGCCCTGAACTATAAGCCTCCTCTCCGTATATTTCTGTCAATGAATCAATCACAATACTTTTATTTACATTCCTTTTTTAACTTACCTTCTGTTTCAGTACTTCTGCAGCCTCCTTAGCATCCTTGAGCTCCTCTTTGAGAGCGCAGTACGACTCGTAATTGATGACTTTTTGCTGCAAACTCTCCAGCACTCCGTTGACTCTTGTTTTAACTGGTATAACCAGTACGTGTTCTGTAACAGATTAGGATCAGGATCTCATTGAAACAACAAGATCTTATTGCTTAAATCGTTACCTTCACAGTCAAACTGTTGCCAGTCTCATACAAAAATAAGTACGATAAACTCACTCATCTATGCACCACAAATATTAAGATTGCCCAACTATAACTCTCATCTAAGACCCGTTGAAGTGGTTAAGTTTATTTTTTCACGAAATATTACAAAATCAATTTTCCAATGGACATAGGTTTCTCCAATAGCGCGCCACTAAGCTCAAGTGTCATCTTTGTATCCAACCGATTTCCCAATATCACCACTTCTAGCTTAATTTATTCGTCCCCCTAACTCTTCAAATACCAACAGCCCTGAAGTTCTGATACTGGAAGAAGTAGTGCAATGATGAATGCTACCGTCGTCTCCACAGGCTTCGTAGTAGCTGCCACCGCTGGACAAGTTCTGTTCCTGTTCCTTGGCAGCCTTGTGTAATTCTTCGTCACGACGAATCTTATCTCGAACTGGAACAAAGATATCTTCATAAGCTGGCATTCGGCCACTGCTGGACAATGGGTTCTTTCTTAAACAGTCAGAGTCATTTACGATAATCCACATGCATAGCAAGCAATTTTGGGGATCGCAAATAGTAGTAGTGAAAGTTGCTTTTCGTTTCTCAGTATAATGGGTTCCAATAATAACGACACAACTCTATTCGAACCCTAACTAGGCATGCTCTATGTGCATTAATTTAACAAAACTCTAAAGAATGTGATAATAGATCTGGTATTTCCTCCCTAAGTATTCTGAGAAAAAACTCTAACAATGAAATCACGGGTTCTTTTCGATGCCGTAGATAAGATAAAATGGAAAATAGAACTCACCCATAACAAGTACCCTCTCGACGATCCCAGGAGCGCAGTTGGCGAGCTGTTCCATTGTATTGCAGCATAGATTGAGCTTCAGCTTCTTCAGCACTTTCCTGTTCAGCGTCATCCAGTTGTTCAGCTTCAAAGAGTGACTGTTGCGAGGTGGATAATTGTGCATCTCCACCAGCTTTGGGTAGTGCACGCTGAGGATTTCTGCTAGAAGGACTGAATGAAGAATTTTAATTATTTACGTAGGTCTTTGTTTCTGGATATTGGGAAATCTGAATAGATGAAGGATGATTTCATTTAAGTACGATACGGTTGATAGCTTATCTTAAAGGCGTTAGGGGAGGTGGGAAGGCAGAAAGCAAAGTAGCAATGCAAAGCCAGATTAACGGAAAAGTCGCACTATAGCACTTTTGCAAATGGAGAAGTATCTCCTAAACGCATATTTGAAGATAATTACCACTTTATATTGGCAATTGGTAGTTTTCTACTACATAACTTAACGCCTTCTAATCCCTGAAGATAGATGATAGATTCAGAATGTAATACCAACTTTTCATCAGGAAAGTTAAGTATGACTTATTAGGTACGTTACGTTTAACAGGGTCGGTTTAACCTATCGTTTTGATTGGAAATCCTTCCACTACTGTAAAAATTATTCTACCCCACCTGCATCAGAAAAGTCCCGATTAATCTTCTTCGTAGGTCGAGATAGTTTGAACGTGTCAACCCAAGCCAAAACTGATTCGATATCCGATAAAGGTATAGGTGTCTCAATGTTAGCCATCTTGCAATATTTAATTATATAAACAGTAGTTATAATATTATTTATACTTTATTTTATTCAGTGTTGATTATTTGACAATGTAAATTTCGTGTTTGTTGTCAGACATTTTCTGAGTTTGTTTTTTTTTGGGTGGGAACCTTTTTAGCCAGTTTTTAGTCGTTGACAAAAGGAGGTTTGGTGTTATGAATTCAACCTTTTCGTGGTTAAATATTCTCTTGTCTAGTCGTTCGCCACCACGCCACGCCGTGACGGTGGACTGTGTGTGTTATACTCTGGGACTTATCTATGTAAGCAGACTTGCCATAATTACCGCGTTTGGTACGAGTCGGACTACTGTGATCGCCATGTCGTCTAAGTCTAACCTGTCTTCCAAGCATGCTCTCCATTTTGCAGGAAACTAAAATAAAGTGTTTCATTAGAAATTAAGTAATAACTAGTGAAATATGAACGATAGAGTTACTACCATTTAGAACATCACATAACATAACATAACATAGCATCACGCCTTTTTATCCCCGAAGGGGGTAGGCAGAGGTGCATATTTCGCCACTTAATGCCACTGTACAATGTAACACCCACTTATCACTATTTATGTTATGAGTCCCATGTAATAGGCGGTGAGCCTATTGCCATATACCGGGTACATTTCCAGACTCCGTGCTACTACTGAGATTTTTTTAAAACCCAGTAATACTTTGCCCGACCTGGGAATCGAACCCGAGACCCCTTGCCGGGCAGTCGTACTTGCGACCACTCGGCCAACGAGGCAGTCAAGAAGCACCATTTAGAAACACGCATGAAATCAATGACGCCACTTATAAGCATTTATCTTTTTAATTACACTAAACGACATATTCATCTATACCTATTACATACCCATTTGTTATACGTACTTTTATGGAAAGTCTTTAAACTAACTTCGATCATTAAATCAATCGCTGACATTTTCTCTCATAGTCATAACATTAGAAAGCTTTCTTGAATAGATCTCGTCGATCACATAAACGAGCGCTGCATTTTCTTTATGCAACACATAACCACCATAACTTGACCCCCCTCATCTCAATTTTCCATAGATTTATGTATGAAATGTGCAGTTACATTGTGTCTTAGTAAAGTGGTTGTGTTCTAACTGTAGTTGCATAGAAATTGCGCTTTCTATTGCGTTTACTAACAAAAGGTTTTATGTAGAGTTCCTAAGATATCTTAAGGTTATGATATTTTTTATTTCCTGGAATAATTTTAAGTTTGAATTTTTTATGTACTTACCATTACACCATTACTGCTATCTCGCCTAGTAGTAACGTGGTAAGCGATGTTGTGGTTGTGGCATACGATAGACCCATAATCAATCTATTCACTCGGGCTTTAAAGACACCCAGGTTATTCCATTCGGGAAATACAGACTGATTAACCATTCCACTTCATAGCGGTTCTAATAATAATTAAAACTCGGATGCACGGTAGCTGGGGAATGAGCTGCTGAGCAACGTACTGCGCGTTTCTGCACTGAACACGTCTTTGTATTGAAAATTCAAGTGTGGGTCCATGCTTTTTTATAAAATAAAGACTTCTATACCTTTCAATTCATCCCTTTCTATCACACACAGTCACAAATAGTACCTACCTAATATTTATCTTTGCACTTGACAAACAAGTTGACAAGCATCCGCCATCTTGGTTTTAAAACGTCACTTTCTACAAACTATTTGCGTTTTCACAATGCGTTTGCGACGATGAGATGACAGGTTTCGTTTTGTTCACACTGTAGGTGAAGCTATCACAATCTGGTAAGCGATTTTCAACTTTATTTCTTTAATGATAAAGTTAAAAATTAATTGTAGTTGTACAGATAAGTGTAGCTTCATTTGCTGGTTTTTATACACTGTACAGTCGTAAGCAACTGTTTGTTTTTTTTTGTCAATTCAAAGCCTATGGGTTTAATTAGATAATAGAGAGTTGCTTAAGGAAAGTGCGTGTAGATTTGTATATAGCATTTTATTTGGAAAAAGGTCTATAATTGTGTTGATATTTATACTTTCACTAGCCTTTACCCGCGGCTTCGCTCGCGTCACAAAAGGCTAAAAAGTAGCCTATGTGACATATACCAATACACAGCGCCATCTATACCAATACTTTTGTTTTTTCTCGGACACATCAATTTTTTCCGGGTTAAAAAGTACCCTATTATTTAATCCGGACTTCTAACTTTAGGTCTACAAAAATTCAAAGTAATCGGTATAGTAGTTACGGCGTGAAAGTGGAACAAACAAACAAAAAAACTCACTTTCAGATTTGTAATATTAGTAATGATTTTTAAATTTGTGTAAAGAAAGAATACCTACACCAAATGAAGCTTTGTGGTGATTGTAAACAAGAATACCTTCAGTTGTCACAACTGCTATTTTTCCCGAAGGTGGAATAAAAGACTAAGGGATAGCTAGACTGGGTTTTTTTGAGGGGTCTAATCACTCAATGACTTCAGCCAGTAGCCACCTATGGCTATGACCAGGTGAGGCGAGTGAGAGTGTCATACTCTTATTGACTAAAACCACACTATTTCTACACCCGCTTCGAGCAGGAGTCCCGGTAAGAGCGCTGACGTGATGATGGCAGCAGTTGCCTCTGCCGTAGGTAACATGCCGCTCGTGTGTCAACACACGTGTCGGTGGCGTCAACGGCAGCAGTCGACCTATAGCGACACTTGTAGGTAGTTGTAGCGTTCTTCGAAGTTGAAGACTGCAGTGACCTCTGCCGTTGGTAACAGGCCCTCGTTGTTCGTTGTGTAAGAGCTCTAACCTATTAGGCCATCCGCAGCTAGCAGCCTGACCAGCAAGAAGATTATGGCAAACTATGTTGATAGAAGAGGCCCTTACCAGTGGACCGACACTGGGCTGTTGATGTAGATATCTCTTTTGCTATGCATGGGCGGTGTAGATCATTTATCATCAGGTGGTCCGACTACTCGTTTGCCTCTATAAAAATACTAGCGGACCCGACAGACGTTGTCCTGCATATCCACTTGAATGTATAAACAATTTTTTTTTCAAATTATAACATACGACTGCAGCGCCATCTGCCGGGCTGATTTGAGAATTTAAACCATCCAAGGCGCCACTCAAACGCGTACAGAAAAATTCATTTAAGTATATCGGTCAAGCCGTTTAGGAGGTGTTCAATGACATACACACGTACAGCAGAATTATATAATATAAATCTTATATCTTATCTTATACTATTATATAAAGCGGAAGAGTTTGATTGTTTGTTTGAACGCGCTAATCTCCGTAACTACAGGTCTGATTTGAATAATTCTTTTTGTGTTGGATAGTGCATTTATCGAGGATGGCTATAAACCAATAGGAGCCGAGCAGAGCGTGTGAAACCGCGCGGAAATAGCTAGTATTGTATAAGTACACAAAGCCAAGACATTTGTCTAGTAGGTACAAGACATGATGTACAAAATTAATCCTTAAGGTCTGTAACACGCCCGGGTGTCATCACTGCGAGGACCGCCCTGAGGACACGGTGGAACACACGGTGGGAGAATGCCCTTCGTGGGCTGAGCACCGCCGTGTCCTCAGGGAAGTGATCGGCGATGGCGACCTCTCGCGTCCGGGCCTAGTGCAGGCCATGATGCGGAGCGAGGGGGATTGGGATGCCGTCTCCTCCTTTTGCGAAGCAGTCATGCTAGCTAAGGAGGAGGCGGGACGCGTGAGGCAGCGAAGCGCTGCCTCCTCGCAACCCAGCCATCGCGAAGGACACACCGGGCGTCGGGGATCGCGGGACGATCTCCGGCCACCGTAAGCGCGGGCCTGCGGACAGCGAGCATGGGTGGCTCCCCGTCCGACCAGAAACAGACCCGAGCGTACGGCGCGTCGCGTTCCGCGCGCGCCTCAAAGAGCCATCAGACCACCACAGATGGGGCCCAATAGGGCCGATGCCGATTCGGAGTCGCGGAGAACCTAACGGGTAACCGGGGCTCCGGCTCGACGTGCAGGAGAAGGAACGGGGTGGTTTTTAGTCAGTAAGAGTCTGACACTCCCTCCCGCCTCACCCAGGCGGGGGCAGTCATTCGATGATTTTCCCCCCTTAAAAAAAAAAAAAAAAAAAGGTCTGTAACACTCTTTCAGTTCCCATGCAAGTCTTAACAATAACTTATCAACTAAATATAATTAAACCTACAATTTAAAAACTGCATAATTTAAATAAAAAATAATTAAAAAAATAAACTAACGTTTACACGTCTACACATAAAGTTACACAAACCAGTACAAACTGACCGTTGACTGTGCGGAAAGATCATACGAAGCGGGATCATTATATATTGGTTAATTTTGTATAGCTCGATATGAAGCTGTGTCTGAGAATACTTTAAAAATAAGTTATTTTTTACACTGTAGCACTTCCGTTCTCAGTTGTACCTACCTAATGCTTTTGTTTCCTTGGCTGAGTCAGCCCGTGGGTACCTAGTCCCAAGTAGGTACCAAATACACAAGTCTTGTCATTCTGTATTTACCCTTCTGAGTAAGTATTTACGTTTTTAAAATAGCCCTTTTCTGTTTAGGTTGAAGGGGATGTACCTAGAGACACTGACAATACTTATATATCTACCATGAGTAATATAAAAGAGGGTTGGCGATAACAAAGTTATTACTTAAAATTATAAGCCCAGGTTTTGATTACGATTATAATGCTTGAGAAGAGGCTTTGCTCATAACATAACATCATGCCTTTTATTCTCGAAGGGGTAGGCACTATTTATGTCATAAGTTACATGTAATAGGGGGTGAGAGCCTATTGCCATATACTGGGCTCCGTGCTATTACTGAGATTTAAAAAAAAATCCAGTAGTACTTTGACCGTCCCGGGAATCGAACCCGAGACCGCTTGCTCGGCAGTCGCAGGCCAACGAGGCCAACGAGCAGAAGAAAAAAGAAATATTAATAAATGCTTGTAACATTAAACATCACGCTTTTTAGTTCGCGAAGGGTAGGCACATTTCACTGTACCTTAGTAGGTGAGCCTCATTGCCATATGCATAATTATATTAAACCGATAGTGATTTGTCCAATCCGGAAATCGATCCCCTTGCTCCGCAGCGTTATATGGAAATATATTTGCTTCAACTTTGAGCTAAAGCAACCACGCTTCATAGTCCTGCACAAAATCAACTTTACGATAAGCCACGAATACATCAAAATAATATTTTCTTCACATTTGTAGCTACTATCTATTGTCACCTACAATCTGCAATACGCGTCAAAAAACAGCTTCTGTCTATCCCCCCTAATCTATAGCGTGATGCGTATTTAATGATGACATAATAAACGTACGTTTTGGTTTTCCAAATCTGTTGTTTAAGGAATGGGCACACCTAAAGCGTTTTATAGCAAACTTTAAACACATTAAAACAAAACCCGATTGGATAGGTTGTTTATGGGGCGACGTGCTCCATCGTAGACCACATCATCGCTTACCACCAGGCGAGGCGAAAACATTTATTTACTGTTTAGTAAAGGTATTGTTCTACTAGTTTTGAACCACTTAAGGATTCTTCCTCGTGAGCAGTGTGCACTGTCGCGGCGATGTTGCGCAGCCTACGCTAGTAGAGCTTTTCTCACTATATTCACGCGAGTAACCCGCAATTTTTAGTTAATTTAGTATGTCTCACGATAGTTATTATAAAAACATAGTTTGCTTTAGTTTCATTAGCTAACATTTATAGCTAAGCGACTAAATAGTATAGCAAGCTCTGTGACTTTGTCTTAACTACGTTAGCATTCTCTAACGAATTTCGAAAGGCGATGGCAGTCAGTTGTAATTCAACATCAGGTCAAAACGGACGCGAGTTTAGTGTTGTGGTGTAAGCAGAGTCGTACATAAAATATAAGGTTAGTTTATTTTGTTATGTATGTATTTAGGTTTATTGATATAGTGTGTCATGTTTCGTTTATCGAGTAGTTTACGTGTCCCGAGGTAGAACTGCTGAGCAAGAGGTGTTGGATTCGATTCCCGAGTCAGGGAAAACTATTTTTGAAATTTTCTGTTTTTGTAAAATTGCAATTTTGGTGATTAAACTGTCAAACACCAAGCGGTCACCGGTGACCTCGCGGTCACCGGTGACCTATTGTTCTTTAATTGTATCTATAAAACCGGTACTCGACGAGTTAATTAAATAGGACAGGACTTAATTAATACCTCGTGATAACGTGATAAAGTGTGAATTACATTACATGTGATGATGTGCACCTCTGCCCATCCCTTCGGAGTTCAAATGACGTGATAGTGGATTCGTTCCACATAAATAAAAAATATCCTATCCACTGTCGGGTTTTCCAATGATTTTCTCAATAGATTTATAGCAGAGTCACTACGTCCGATGTTATTCAATAATCTCATCTTTAATGAATACAAAAAAGGAGGTTTTATGTTCAACACTTCTTACAATTCATGCTTCTTAACGCTCACTACACTTACCATCCTTATTTCATTTAGCGGGTGTCGGTCAAGAGACCTCTAAGGGACAACCCATTGACAGAGACCCAGCAGACAGCGCTCTGATAACGCTTCAACTTTCTAAACTGTGTTCTTTAACCGGCTTGCCAGTAACGATATAACAAAGACATTACATAACATCACGCCTTTTATCCCCGAAGGGGTCGCAGGGGTGTACATTATGCCACTGTACAATGTAACACACACTTTTTACTATTTATGTTATTAGTCCCATTGAGTAGGGGGTGAGTATTGGCATATACCGGGCACAATTCCAGACGCCGTGCTACTATTGAGAATATATAAAAAAAACCAGTAATTCTTTGCCCGACTCAGGATTCGAACCAGAGACCCCTTGCCCGGCAGTCGGACTTGCGACCAGTCAGCCAACGAAGCAGTCTAACGAAGAAGTTCTGTGATAACAAACCTTATGTAGATAGAAGAGACCCGTAGCAGCACATAGTTCAGCCCTGATGTTAGGTACCTATGATGATACCTTAACATTCCACAAGTAGTCGCGGAGAACCTAACGGGTTACCGGGGCTCCGGCTCGACGTGAGTAGTGATGATTCGCCGGTTCTGGCTCATGAATTCCAGGCTCAGACCGGCGCCAGAATGCCGCGAATCAGTTGCACCAATCCTAAAAAAAAAAAAAAAAAAAAAAAAAAAAAAAAAAAAAAAAAAAAAGGTTTTGCCATGCTCTGATCACGTTTCTGCAATCCTTTTTAGCGTACGATGCGTGGTTCTGGAGTTATGCAAATCGATTGCAAATCAATTTATTGTATCTAATTAATTATCTCATTAATTAATTAATGAGATAATTAACCCTCATTATGTTTAATTTCCTATGTCATCAATAAAACACAATCGTACATTTTTAATTTTTTATTTCATTACTTTTCTACAAAATATGAGTGGAACATCTTATCCACAAAAATATCATTGTACAGTGTGTTTCCTGTAAATATGTTCGTAAAACTATTCATTGAACATCCTTGAAACTTAAATAGCAAATACATTAAGCAATATTCACCACAAACTGAAGTCCAATCATTCTGAATCCTATCAACATTCCAGTCCCATCTCTTACAATTCCTTTTCAAAAACTGAAGATGATATCGCTCAGGTGTTCGTCCATATGAATCAAAATATTGACCGATGCCATTCACATCGATATGTACAGCTACCCAGTGTGAGCCTGGTTTATCATCCGCATCCAAATTGGATATTATATACGTTGGTACTTGTGTATACATAGGTAGTCTATTAGCAGCATAAACATTATTTTCTAGACTGGGATGAATCTTTTTCATATGTTTTTTTAATTCTAGTGTATCCATGATATCACTGTTATTAGCAGTTTATTGCAGTACCAATCTATTCAATGGTTGTCATAGGAATGTTCAATTATAGTGATTTGTAAATCGCATACTGATCTTCATGCCTGTTGCGACGTGAGATAAGTTTGTTGACTCATAGAGTTCCGTTGTACTTAGGAATTTACTTCAGATAACGTGGTCATAGTAATGTGTAATTAATGTGTAATTAAGATAGTGATTTGTGGGAGTCACAAAACATGTTCATGCCTGTTGCGATGTGAGATAAGTTTGTTGACTCATAGAGTTCCGTTGTACTTAGGAATTTACTTTAGATAACGTGGTCATAGTAATGTGTAATTAATGTGTAATTAAGATAGTGATTTGTGGGAGTCACAAAACATGTTCATGCCTGTTGCTACGTGAGATAAGTTTGTTGACTCATAGAGTTCCGTCCGAGATAAGAATTGTGCTATATAAGATCGAACAGTTGCAGTCATGCAGTCAGTTTATGGTCATTTGACCACAGTGGATTGTATACGTCTACCAATACTACGTTTGTGTTACCTACTTCAACGCATCAATGATCATGGAGGTAAGTGTTTATTCTATTGACAAACTTACTTGTATTTCTGTTGTTGTTTTCCTAACGTATGTGTGTGCGTGTGAGTCGGATTAAGTGTAAACAAATTGATATTAACGTGATAACTCTGTTGTTGCAGAGATCATTCAGCTTCGTCGACGATAATGAAAATACCTATAAACAGTATTACTACTCGCCACTCTCTCCCCAACACGAAGAAGAGAGAGATGACATCGTCGTTAATAACACAGACGATGGAGGAAAAAGGAAATCGCAACCGATTGATCAATTTTTTGAAGTGACACCAAAAATAAAAAGGAAGAAGCAGCTATCGTCGACTGTGGCACGAGCTGCTAGAGATGGCGTATCATACATCTCTACAAATTCTGACGACGGAGACCAAGCGACGCATCTCATAAAAATTGAAATGTATGATATGAAGAAACTATCCAAGATTCCAATTAGTGATCACTGGAAGCACGCTACCACGAGGATTAAATATTACGTAAAGAATAATAAGGATAGCATCTACGACAACACAAACGGTCTCGTATACAATATTACAAAGACAATAGCAGAAAGTGAAAAAGTTAAAAAATACTTTTTTAACAATGACACTCATTAGTGGATTCGTGAATGTGATTCTGTTTACTTAAAGTACTTCTGTGTAATCTAAACTAAAGTGTTTTTTGTAAGATTAAATAAGGGAGGTATATAAAGAAATAAAAAATATTACATTGCATATAATTTGTTTTATTAATTTTATAATATTAGCTTTAGTTACACACACACAAAATGCATTAAGCATAACACATATATCTAAAACACAACACATATTATAATCTTAACTACTATAGTCTACAGTAACATTTCTATTTTTATCTATTTCAATAATATTATCAAACTCAGCATAAACAATACAGTTAATTGTTTGTATTAGTGAGGATTCAAATCGTACTTCTAATCTTACACTACCATGTTTTATGAGATTCCAATGGGCTGATGAGTTAGCTGATAAATCAGGAGTTAAATCAAATGCTAAAAGACAGTAACCTTTAGCATACTGTTCACGAGAGATTGCATTTCCCTCATTAAGAAAGTGAATACCTGTCCCCGAGAATAGAGTATGATATGCTGATGTAAATATATTATTATTAAAAGATGGTTGCAAAGCTTTGGAAGGTATTTGTTGACCATCAATATATAAACTGAAAGAGTTAATACCATAGTTTTCAAAATTAAATGGATTTTTAGTAAGTGAACCATTAAACGCGGAATTATTCACAAAACCAATAATACATCTTTTGGGTACCTGTCCTAAGAATATATTATCAAGAGTTTTTCCTTGAACACCCGAAGGAATTGTTAAAACTTTAACTTCAGCACGAGTAATAGGATATTTAGCAGTGGTAGAAGCTAAAACTTTCTGATGTGCGAGTAATACACTTGGATTAATTCGTGCTCTTCGAACAATAAGAGTTGCATCCGTAATGCAAACTTTAAACTTTACATCATTTGATCCAGCAATTAAATTAAAACTCTCTCTTGACCGAACTAATTTTACACTCATTTCAACGCCATTAATTAAAAATTTATCTTGATTGAAAATATCACCATGAAGATGACCAATCATTTCTACTTCCCTGCTTTCATTAACTAATTCCTGTCTTTTAACAAATCCAATGTTTTTACCATCTGTGGAATCCATTTTTCCTGCTGTATCATCATACCAAAGACTACAAGTAAGATGAGATTGTTTAGCAGCAGGAGCATAGTTTAAAAGGGTTTCCATGTATGCTCGATAAGCATAGGTATTATTAGGTGGTGATACAAGTTTTTGGTTTAAATAAATATCGAGTTGACTAAAAAGTGAATGCAACCAATTATTTACAGGTGCTACTGCTGTAGCTGATATCAAGTTTGTTGAATCTTGATTTAATACTTTTGCCTTTATGTGGAGTAATGTATGAGACAAATCTATGTAGTCATCGCCTGTTCCAGGAACTTGAAACTCGATAGGTCCATCATCAGCAAGAGATGAAATTGGTTTATAGTGAATCCACAATCCATTTTCAATGCTTGTTTGTGTAGACGGTAATGCAAACAAATCTAATTCTGACTTAACGCACTCACAAGAATGATTATGAAGGAAAGACATACTTAATTTGAAAATATATCTTTGATGTTTTTTGGTTTTAGACCAAGTTTTTTCGTAGCTTTCACTTTCGCTGTTAGTGGTGGAATGAATGAGGCCAATCGTTTTCTTTTAGTTATATACCCAGACCCTGTCATGTTAAATCGATCAATTTTGTCATCAGCCTTTCGTTTTAAGTTCGTACTAACTTGCTTTAGACGATTTTTTATTGAGGTTTCCATAGGACGGGCTTGAACCATATCTGATAAAAGTCCTACTCCAGCATTTAATGCCTCCTTACCAACCACTCGAACACCACTTGAAAGTAAAGGTAAAACTGATCTAAATAACCCTCCTAAGAAG